GAAATCTTATGAAGTAAAACCACTTAATTTGAACGAAATCCCACAAATAATGTTTTAGCGTTAATGCTTCCATTATATATATTGTATTCGGAAGAAATTGTCCGAAAACTATTGTGCGGGTAAAAGCAATTTATATTGAATTTTCAGTCACGCTAGTGTTGTACTTTTAATGTTTTGTTTAGAACATTTATTTATATTTCTTTTCATAGACATCACAGCGGATTTTATTCTTCAGCCACCAGACACGGGGTTTACTGAGGAAAAAAATTCGTCATTTCCATCAAAGGCCTTAATTAGCGTAAGTTGATGTAATAAAATACAAAAAGCATATGGTTTGTACCAAAAAAGATAAGGTTTGTTCTTAAAAACATACAATAATCATCCCAAACCTTTGTAACTGAATTCAAGAACGGAGTAAGTAAAGGGTTAACCACTAGTAAGCACCTTTTTTCTCTAAACAGGCTTTTAAAATTTTCTAAATCGCACATTCAAACATCGGGTTACGAAATACAATCATTTCAGTTAGTATCCTTGTGCTATTTTTTTCTTCTTAGGGTGATTTTGATGTGAGAATACAAATGCAATCGAGAAACATGTATGCTTGTTATGACATCCAGTTTGCTGTGCAAGGAGGTGAGGATGAAATACAGCAACTGGCAGAAAACAAACAGTTGTTGACTTACAAGTCATCAAATCTCACTGTCTCACACAATACAGGGAAATGCGCTATAATAATATGCAACATGAGAAAGTTTTGATCTTGTAATGTCTGTTTTCGTTAGGAAAGTACTGCTTTGATGCTCCTCCTCCACCTCTTACCACAGCGACCACTTCTACCACACCAGGTAAGTCTTATAACCTCATCGGTTTTTAAAAGCTAAGTTCAGCTTTGAAAACTTTCAAAATTTTAAAGAAAATTAGATTTTTCTTGAAATTGCAGGCATCGTCTGTAATCAAAAGCTCTGACCGTATGATTGTTCGGCCTTCATTGACTAATCATTGCTCTAGATGATATACATACTAAACATTGGCAGAGATGGAGGTCTGCTTTAGCAACTACTAGTAGAGCAAAGAGAGTAGCCGATCAGTCACTTAATATAACTGAACTTTTTCATTCAAAATAAAGCTTTGAAGACAAACCACACTTCGCACTCTTCATCAACTAAAACGTCAATGATCCAAGTAGTAATTAACATCACCAATAGTGGTTAATAACTCCGAAGCGATTTTTACTATAAACATGCCGTTCTTAAACTAGCTACTCCCACAATTACTACTACCGCTACAACAACACCGGACAAAACTCTGTATAAGTGTGACCATGAACAATACGTGCTTTTACAATTCCCATACAAATCAAACGGTAATGTTACAGTTACAAGCTGTAATCTCGATGGTTATACTTTACTCTATAGTAATATTGAAAAAATTCGCTATTCGGTTCAATACAGATGCAATTTAGAAGTATTTTGTCTGCTTTTATATTCTTACATAACACTAGATCCCGTTTTATCGTTTTGTGTGTCTCTATCGAATGGTGTGTAAAATATGGAAAACTAGATTCTGTTCGATCTTTGCCTTACGTGCATTTTACGCAGGCATATACTGTACTACAGGGAATGGTCTTTTGTTTCTTAATAAACCAATTGTATAAGGGAAGATTTGATCAAGTTAGGTGGAACCTTACAGCCTCAAATTCATTGAATCATGGAGCTCATACTTCCAAAAAAATCATTTTTAGTTGTCATTAGTACTGCAACCATTCTCGTTGATTTGGCAAAAGTTTGGACGGGAACGATTTTACGGTTGGCGTTTTCAACTCTCAATGGTGCCCCATCAGTCGAAATTCACCGATCTGAGATTCTTCCTTGAGTGAAATCATCATCTTTTCGATTAACTCTTGACTTGGATGAAGACTTTTATGTATAAATTAGGCTATCAGATACAATTGCAATGTTTAGATTCAATCCGATCTATATTTCATTACGAAAGATTCGAATTTTGTTTCCGAATTTTCACCTTGAGTTTCACTTTTACAATATATTTTGTATTTTCGAACTTGAATTTCAGCCTCAACTACACGCTTCGAAAACATTGGCGAACTGTTGCTTCGTAACTTACTCTCATATATTCCACCCCGGCCAGCACCGGCAAATTCTGGTCAAATCTCACACAGTTGAAAAACACGAAAATTCACCAAACTTGCTGTTGCTTATCATGCATCGTTCTTTTCATTTTGCTTATCGATATATCGTTTTATTTTCAAATAATATTAAATATTGTGTTTATTTTCAAAGTGCTTGTTATGTTTATTTCTTAAGTATTTATTTTCAAATTATTTGTAAGAAAAAGAATTAGAACTCATTCCGTTTTTGAAAAAAATTCACTGTTCAATGACAGAGGGTGCCAAAAACCTTGGCATGCGAGTCCCATCTGTCAACTTTTTGTCAAGAGAATATTGAGAGAATATGTGACTGGTGTAGCTCAAATGATTGATGTCTTTAAATGCAAATAAATGTGCACGAATATTTATTTCTAATGTACTAAATAGCGTGAGCATTTTTCAGCTCACATGGAGGATGGTACAACCATAACACGTGAACTGTGTGACAAACGACGTATCATGACTGTAAATGACGCATTGATATGTCAGTTGCTTAAAAAATAAAGTAACCGCAGGAAACAGAAAAGGATAATAATTGTTACAGAAATGAATCTTTAACGAGAATAGTCGTTTGAACGACATACATAAAGTCAACGGTGAGTCATTTTCATATATATACAAGTAAACGATACACCTTATAGAATAGAAAAAGAAAAGTTGTCGACTTGTTTCATATAGTGTATGACTACACGTTCTGCAGCCGTTTCACCCCTAGAAGTAATGTTGTATGTGATGTTTATGATGTACTTGAATAATCTGGTAACGATAAGAAAAAAAAAGAAAGAGCGGAAAATTTTATTCTGCATGTGTCATATATTGTCGGCAGAATGTTTTAGACACACGTTTACATTTGCAAAGGTAAGCACAATAAATATTTTCTTTCTATCGTTAGTGAAACTAAACCAAGGAAAAAGTGAATCTTGGTGGATTGAATGGATAGCTTTACCAGATTCTGTCGAGACCCACCAGAATGTAATAGAAGAACTATTACATTTATTATGCGTAGCTCTAGTTTTCTCTATCGCCAATAGTAATGGGGCTTATCTCTCTTTCGGTGAAAATATCAATTTTTGTATTTTATATCACTATTGAAAACTACATAAAGCCCTTGACACATTAGAAGACCCCCCCATAATAGACGATCCCTCTTGAGAGAATAACGCAAAAGGCATATTGGAAGAGCTCCTGTTACGGCTATAATGAATTTCTTTTTTAGTTCTTTTATGATATATACAACTCTTATTTTATATATACGTACAATATATATATGCTTTGTTTCAATTTTTTTACTCTTTCTAACATTCACAATTGTCTACGCTCGTTGGTTGTCTTTGTTCTGTTCACATTTCGTCATTTTTCACATTTCGTCATTTTCACATTTTTCACATTTCGTCATTTTCACATTTTTCACATTTCGTCATTTTCACATTTCGTCATCTTCACATTTCATCATCTCCATCTTTCATCATCTTTTCCATTGTTCAATCTCACGCGAAGGTTTTGTTCAATGTTCTAGCGGAAAGGAATTGAAATACATAAATAGTAACTAAATAATCAGTATGAAAACATATTTTTATGAAAATTCTTGTCGAGGATCACAAAAAGGTCACTTTTTTTAAGGACATATTAGAAGACCCCCTTGGAATTTATGGACGATAAGACAGAATAGGAGACCCCGGGTCTTCTGATATGTCCATGGCTTTAGTAAATGCTATTACGAAGTGGTATACTCATGACCGATGATGTGCATGTGGATCGCTTCCTTGTATTGTGCCGCTGCTTTTCAAGTGGAGCGAATAACGCACTTCTTTCGTTAGATCGTTTCTACTGGTTGATGTTTTGTTTTACAACAGATACGAGAGTGACCACGGAAGCATTTCACAGATTTTGCCCAAATACAGAGTTCTGTATACACATGCCAGGAATACTTAAAGATATTTCAGGGAAGGACATAGATCAGTTCTCTTTTTGATTCTCCTCTAATGAACAGAAAGCATGTTCTGAGCATTCAACGAAACCGAAACCTCTTTGGTAGCACAATCGGATCGAAGAATAAAAAGGTCTTCAGAAAAACGTTGTCTTGGTCGGATTCGCATCTTGTAGTAAAAAGAAAAGTGCAGTCCTTTAATCCGACTTTCCGGTAAAAACTTTCAAAAAAGTTTTTTTAAATCAATTTTTGTATTTTGTATCACTACTGAAAACTACATAAAGCCCTAATGCGCGGAGGGGTTTAGATACATTGCAACCGATCAGAATAACGATATATTTTTTTCTAGAAACGTTAATCGATCGAAGAATTTCTCAAATTCAAATATGTCAACAAATAGATTAGGACGCATTGTCATTGTGGGAGGAGGTCCTGGTGGACTTACACTGGCACGCATTCTTCAACTCAAAGGTGTTGAAGTCAAACTCTATGAACGAGAAAGTTCCATTGATGCTCGGACTCAAGGAGGAACTTTAGATTTACATGCGGAATCTGGACAATATGCTCTTCAAACAGCAGACTTATTTGACAAGTTTCAAGCGCTCTGTCGTCCAGAAGGACAGGATACGCGCATCATCGACAAGTCTGGCAGGATACTTTTGGAAGAAGTGTCTAATGAAAATAATTTTGGCCGTCCAGAGATCGATCGACATGATCTGCGGCAATTGCTTCTCAAATCGTTGAAGGCAGGTACCATTGTACAAGGACATAGTTTACAAAGTATCGAATCCTTGAAGAATGGTCAACATAAACTTATTTTCGACAATGGCTTAATAGAGACTGCTGATTTGGTAGTTGGGGCAGACGGTGCATGGTGAGTTTTCCCTAAAGTCATTATGATGAGTACTATAGCTGATGATTTCTTTTAGGTCGCGCGTCCGCCCTATTGTATCAAGTGCAAAGCCTCAGTACGGTGGTGTGACGATGGTGGAAGCACAATTCAGCGAGGTTGATGACCGACATCCTGAGATTACCAAATTGGTTGGTCGTGGTACCATGTTTTCTTTGTTCGATAACAAAGGTCTTATCGCTCAGCGCAATGGGCAGAATCGAATTCGTGTCTATATCACTTTGCGTGTACCGGAGAATTGGGCGGCTGCATCGGGTATTGATTTCGACCAACCAGAACAAGTTCGTACTCATCTTCTTCGATTATTTGAGGATTGGGACGATAGTCTGCTCAACTTCATTCATTCTTGCGATGCTAACTTTATTCCACGCCCTCTGTATATTCTACCCATAAATCATAGGTGGGAAACACAACCAGGCGTCACACTAATAGGCGATGCTGCTCATCTCATGTCTCCTTTCGCCGGTGAAGGTGTTAATTTGGCTATGCTCGATGCTACAGAGTTGGCTCTTGCCATCATCAGTGCAGACGATTTAAACCAAGCTATTCACGACTTCGAGCAAAAGATGTTTTCTCGCGCTGCTATAGCTGCCGAAGAATCCTCAAACAATCTTGACCTATTTATTGCACCTGGCAACTCAGCAGAAATAGCGGCAGAATTGTTCAAAAAAATGATGGAGGGG